CTGTTCCTCATTATTTTATCCAGAGTAATTACCACATGCTGTGCCGATATGGGAATATCTCTATGCCTGTGATTTTTTCGTTCCCTCCACACCCCGTAAAGAGTTGCTTGAAATATGTATCTTGTGAGAAACAGAGTTACTCTGTCCAGATTGTTAGAACTAAAGAGGATCACAACCTCATTCTATTGGTGGGAATAACAATCACCAAGAAGCCTTCGAGTTAGGGTGCCCCAAACCTCCCTCGAGTAACTGCAAGCGAAGAATAAGTGCTGTCTTGTTTCCAAGGCACTTGAGCAGAATGAACATGTCGCGGAAGCACCTTGTCCCAACTGCAACATTTTTTCCCCTGTAGATAAATGATCCAGCATGGCAAGCCATGCTATAAAAGCATATTTAGGAGTCGCATTTGTGAACCAGACCATAGAGCTCCACACTTATTTGGGTGCTGGGCTTCTGATGTTGTGTCATGTATGCTTGGAAGAGAACTTGATATTGTACAGGCCCGATTTCGTCCTCCACAAGTGTTGGTCAGCTCTGTGATTCCTGTGCTATGCCGCATCAGTAATGACATCCTCAATAATGTTCAGATCATCACGCCGATGCCGTTTCCTGCGATGAGAACGCCAAACTGAAGCTAATGTTGAGAAGACAGGAACACCAAGTGGTACAAAACCCTAGGTGCCCGTAATGTTAATTAGCCTACCCAGCTGACTCCAAGCGTCAAACCAAAATGAGATCTCTTCCCCATTATTTGCTCTTATGCGATGCAGGTTTCTTGCCACATCTCTCATGTTCAGCATCTTCCTCCATGTCCATGATCCATGTTGCGGTTGTCGAGGTACAAACCAGAAAGATCGCCCCCGTAACAGATTTTCCTTAGTCCACATTATCCAAAGAGATGATTTGTTCGACAAGAAACGCCAAATGAGGCGTAAACAGCTCATTCTGTTGGCCTCTCGCAGCGACCGAATACCCACTCCCCCTCCAATTTAGGCTTACAAACATCCTGCCATGCAACCTTTGCTTTCCGATGATTCAGCGATGGACCAGACCACAAGAAAGCACTACATAGAAACTCCACCTCTTGAATGCAGCTACTGGGCAAGCAGAAGGCTGACATCCAAAAATTTGAAAGTCCTGACACAACCGATTTCAGCAGCTATAACCGCCCTGCATAAGAGAGGTTCCTAGCAGTCCACGAACCAATCATCTTTCGAATTCCCTCCACAAGAGGCGCATAATCCTCTCTTGACATGCTTTTTGTCATCAATGGTAAGCCCAAGTATCGCATTGGTAATATGCCTACAGCAAATGCTAATCGTTCCACTATTGCAGCTCGATGCTCCTCAGATACACCTGCCAGGAAAATTGTAGATTTTGGAATGCTGATCTTGAGACCCAGTGAATAAACTTTTCCGTAACCCCAGCGCAGCTAGAATATTAAGTAAGAAATTCCATTGCACCGTATCAAAAGCTTTGGCAATGTCGATCATCATCGAACAACAAGGCTGATGGTGGCTCTTATGATAGTCCTGGACAAGTTCCGATGCAAGCAGAACATTCTCAATGAGAAGTCTGTCTTGCACAAAAGCTTTCTGATTCGGTGCAATGATATTTGGGAGGATACACTTCAAACGGTTTGCAAGGATTTTAGAAATCAGTTTGTACATGACATTGCAACATGATATTGGTTTGTAATCCCTTATTTCCTTTGCATCATTCTTCTTCGGGATCAGTGCTAGGATGGTTGAGTTTACCCCTTTTGGAAGGAACCCTAACCTGAAGAAAGACTGTATAGCAACCGTTACATCAGACCTTATTATCGGCCAGGTACCCTTAAAGAACTCAGTGGTGAATCCATCAGGCCCTGGCGCTTTGTTGTTCGGCATGGCGAAGAGCACCGATTTCACTTCCTCAGTCGTGATTTCGCGTGTTAGTAAGTCGCACTCTGCAGTGTTACAACTTACACCCAGTAGATCCCTCAAGGTATCAACATCAATGCCGCTAAATCTGATGGCTCATAGGCTAAGAATTCCCGGAAGTGCCTCTCTGCCTCATTCTTTATATCACTCTGATCCTTAAGCACAGTCCCATTAACATCAACTATCTCACGAATTGTATTATGTGCTTCCCTGATCCAAACTGCTCTGAAAAATATTTTGTTGCTTTTATCTCCCAAGTTCATCCAGTGGAGCTTGAATTTTTGTCGAAGATAGCTCTCCTCTAATTCATAAAGATGTTCCCATTTAGCCAGTGCTGCACTTTCAGCCTCCATGCCAGAACTCGATGGATTCTAGGCATTTGCGTCCTGCATGCTACATAAATCGCCAAACGCCTCCTTCGTTCGCTTCTCCAAGTCACTAGACCGTTGCTTTGGACATTTTGCACAGCTTTGGTTTTAGATCCTTGAGCTTCTTTGTCAATCTATGCAGCGCTGAGGTAGAGTGGAACAAGGCATCAGATCGATCCCATTCCTCCTTGATCGCAGGTAAGAACTCTGGTGCTTGAGCCAGCGAGTTGATAAACTTAAAGGGTTTTTTGATATCCTGTTTTGTGTCGTCCAAAACAATCCGACCTCTAAGGTGATCTGAGCATCCTCCAGCCTCAAAAACACAGTAAGATCGGGGTTGAGTGACAAGCCATTCCTCATTGATTAAAACTCTATCTAATATCTTGTGAACCAACCCATCACTTCTCTTATTGCTCCAAGTGAACCAAGGACCATGGAACCCCATGTCAACTAAAGAGCAATATCGAGTAACCTCTTGAAAGTCCAGAGAGCCCTGCGCATCTACAACCAAATTGGGGCTCGAGTGATCAGTACTCGCCAAAGTCTCGTTAAAATCACCACATATCATCCACCTCTTGTTCTTGCTAATACCCGAGTCGTGAACAAGCTTGATCTCATCCCACAAAGCGTTCCTCTCCGAAGCCAGATTTTCAGCATAGACAAAAGAACAGAGAATGTCCTCATTCTGATCATCTGTAGCCACTAAACACGTTATCATTTGTCCACTTTTTTGAATAACGGACAGCTGAATATCCTTTTCCCCCACCACCCAGATCCTACCTAATCTATTATATTCATAATTGGATACAATAGACCAGCTGGGGAATACCAAATTTGTTATCTTCGCACATTTGCCCTCCATTACTCGAGTTTCTAAAAGACACCCAAACTTCATAGCATTGCCACGAACCCACTCTTTTACCACATTATGTTTGCATTTTTGTTAGAACCTCGAACATTCCAAAAAAACCTTGTCATTATGGATTAAGTTTTTTGGTGTTCTTCCCCCTCTTCCCCGATTTACCAGTGTTAGGACGTGGTATCTGGGTGTTAGCTACGAACCGATGTGCAGTCTTGGCTGCCTACTGCAGGTTTTGTCTATTCCCTGCCGGTTCTGTTTCCAAGCTCATGTCGACATTTTTTTCATTCAGTTCTACCCTGTGCTCATGACCATCTGATCCCGATGGAGAATTTGCCAAACTACCCTCCACAACCTCGTCGGCTTCAGTACTTTGCTGAATCTGATCAGAGCCACATTCGTCCCTCTCATCCTCCTGATCATCAGCATTCATCAGGCCAGAGCTGACGAGAAGTTCTCTATCTGTTCCGTTACTGTGTTCTGCTTATGTGACACCTTTGATGGTGATACCCATTCTTTTTCAGGATTCGACGAAGCAGGCTTCTCCACCACTGATCCGACTTCCTGACATTCGTTTTCCTTGTGACTCATTGTAACAGTTGTGATATCGATTTCTTTCCCCTTCTGCTTCGAAACAGAGGATAGCAAGGTGCTAATGGCTTTCTCCACCATCGGCGTTTCTGCTGATGGCTTTCTAGCACTTTGTTGTTTTCGCTTTGGCGTTGTGTTTGTTGCAACCGCTACCTGCAAATCAGATTGTCGTGAAACTTCCTCATCTCTTCGTAGAATTCTAACAGGCCCATTCTCTGCTTTGCATTCCTTACCAATGTGACCCCAACCACCACAGATAGAGCAATGTGGCGGTAACCAGGGAAATTCATACGCAATCTTAACTGTTTTACCCTTTACCTCAAAGCAATGAGCTTTCGGTAGCGACTTGGTTAGGTCCACTTCAACTGCAATTTTTGCAACATCGAACTCCTTCACCCACACGGTATCTGGGTGCAGCTGCTTTCGTTCCCACCGGACTAGCTAAGAGGCTAAGTCCCTTCCAATTATATAACTTTCTCGGTACGTTTCTCAGGATCACCCACAGAAGAATCGACTGCATAGCCGGCTGCGCTTCCTCCGCGACCGGACTCCACTTCAACACTAGCTTCGGAGTGTCCTTAATATTCCACATCTTACGCCTGAGAACCCTTTCTCGCATACCCTTGTCAGCGATACGGAATTTAACCGTTGTATCATTGACCACATACACATCGATCTTCTTTGTTTTGTTTCCAAGGTTCCATATTCTGTTCACCGTCATATGGATTGATCCAACATGAGGAGCAGTTTTGAGAAACTTCCCCAAGATGCAATCATCCCGAGCCTCATCCAGTATATTATTCGGAACACGGAAAACCCTAGCACCATCTGCTTCCGGGTCGTACCGCTGCATAACTTCCTTCTTCTTCACCACCTCATTCCACTGTTTAACCGGCAGCTCCTTGTCTGTGCGATCGCACTGCCATTTGCTAAAGAACGATGTTCTTCCAGTTTGCCCTCATCGCTCTCTTTTGAATCCAATCCGCCAATATCCATTCCCGTATCAAGCAACTCCACCACTGCCTCATTCGTCGTCGACTCCTGAACCTTCTCCGGGGACGTGGGGACCTTCTGTCTCGACGCTGCCATCTCTGCTGGCCGAAGCGTGGCCGCAAAGTCAAGAAACCCTAATTTGCCTTCTGGATCTCCTATTCTCCTTAAGTATAGATGAATTAGCTTCAAATGAAATCAAATTTGTTTGTACAAACAGAACAAGGGGAAATGACTTAAAATGATTTTTTTTTTTTTGGATCCAAAAAAATTGAGAAAAATAATAGTGAACGTATGACATATTTATAGACAATACATGTACAGAGATATATTAAAATCCACTTGAATCAAAGTAAACATTTTTGCTCTGTAAAAAAAAAATTGCTTTTGTTCAACATCATCTACAACGGCACTGGAGGCTTTTCCAACCACTTGGCACGAAACCCAGTTCCCTTGCAATCGCTACAGCAAGCAGAACCCTAAAACCACCAAAAGAATCGAATGTTTCAAACTTGTGAGGCTATATAAACCTAGAAAACACTACAAGTAATTCTTGAGGACAGAGAAAACGATTAACCACTAAGTTGGATTACTAACCTTTCCGGAGCAGATAACGCAAGAAGTATTCCTTGAGGGAACCTGGCAGAGCATGTTATCACCAAGGATAAAAAATCCTGTACCCGCACACCATTTGCATTCAACGTGACCCTTTGAATCGCACGATGAACATCCAACAGGTCTTGGTTGCTGCAATAAATAGAAAGAAGACTGACAAAAATCATTGAACTGGAACATAGGTCTTGTCAAGCCCGGAAACAAGAGTAATCTGATCTCTAAAGAACTGCACACGAAATTCAAATGCTAGATAAGAGGCTTCAGAAATCGTATCTTGTGAAAAATTTATTGGAACAACAAGAGGACCAAACATGTAAGACCAATATCGGGAAAAAAAGCAGATATCTTATATTTTCAAAACTACACTAAGTTCAGAGGCATTAGTTTCATGGTTTCAGGTAAAAAGGCATAATCATATGTCACAAAGAACAAGAACAGAGACCAAGAAAATAAAGCTTCTGAATTTGAGACAAACCCAAAAGTTGCAAGGAAAGATTTTCCAGGTTTAGCAGGTCCAAGGTACAAGACATTTTGAATTTAATGAAACTATTCACTAGATTTATAATTTAGCTCTTAATGTGAAAACTTAACATATTTCATCACATATCCAAGTTCTTAATTACATACAAGATTGACATATAGCTTGTCAATTTTAACACAGATATAAGTACATAACACGAAATGCTATATGCATTAATCCGCATACATCAAACATGATGGACCATACGACGAAATTAAAAATTTGTGAAATATAACTGATAAACACAAGGGAGTCAATTCGTATGATTACTCTCAGATTCAAAAAAGATCATACAGACTCATACCAAATTAACAAGTTGAAGCAATACTAACAATATCGCGAGAGAACTAATTAGCATATTGAATCAGCACCGAAGCGAAGCAAACCCAGAATGTTTTCGAAGATATCGAACCTGGGAGATAAGCCAGGCTTGTTCCATACGCTTAGCGAAATTGGAAGAACTCTCAGGGGAATCCACCGCCGATGCCCTGACCGTAGCCGGAGAACGGCGAACCGTGCGGCCGACCGCTACAAAACCTAGCTTCGCTCTTCTCTGCGAATTCCATGGATTCACTATCGATTTCGCTACAATATGTGACTCGCAACACATGCAAATCGCCATTTTTTCCTCTCTTTTCTTCCTCGCCGAGAGGTTTTGAAATTCAGAAGTTAAATTTGTCTTTGCCTTTTGTTTTTGTTTGCGCATACCAAATTGGAAGATGATAGGAGGAGAAAACGTCAAATTGGTTTATTGGACCCTTAGACCATCTCTGTGGGAGCTCGATTTCACACAATCGGGACCGGCCGAAGAAGCCCAAAAATAAATATAATTTTTAAAAAATTATATTTAATCAACAAATTAATCGGACTAAACCGAGATATAACTCGGTCCAAAATACAGGAATCGGCCCAATAATCTACTTGCGGAACTAAGCACGTGCAACTCGACGAGCTCCGAACTCTGAAATATCCGGTCAAAATCGAAGATATTCTGCAAACAGCTTAGAGATATTGCAGAGATCACGGAACGACGCAACACGAAGTGGTCCGAGATACGTGGCGGTAATTCGAGACTCGAAGAGAAGTATAAAAAGACCTCGCATCAACCAAAGAAAGAGACTTCCGATCCCGGAAAAAACCCTAGAATATCAATCATCTTTTGTACTTTGTTCTTCGAGCAATCTTATATTCAAATCATCCGATTAATCGAATATAACAAACATGAAACCCATCATGAACCGCGGAAAACACATCTCCAGGTATGTACACCTAAACATTCCACATTTCAGTTGATCATTATCCCATCCTCTCACGGATTTTTCACACTGTGGGCAGTGTGAGTTAAGTCTGGGGGAGGATGTTCATCCCTTACTAACAAAATTTTTGTTTTGAGTTTGTGTTGCATAAAAAGTTTTCAAAAAGTCTTCAAAACAGGAACGCCAAAAACAAAACCATGTTCTTCTAGACTTTACATGCAAATTCCTTTTTGTGGTTAGTCTTAAACTAGGCGGTAGCTAGAGTACTTGCACTACGAACTCTCACCAGAGGATTTCTATTCACGGAGATCTTTTCTGACAGGATATACTAGCTCATTTTACTTGAACATAATCTTAACATCTAATTTTCTCATCATTGGTTTTAGCAGGCATCATGATATACATTTAGGACATCTTCACCTTATTGTTACCACTTTTTGTTGTCCTAGATGGCCAGCTCATCTTTAGCTGGTACCACACCCTCTATCCAAAACCTTTATGTTCAACCTCATGCATCTCTTTTTAGTTTATATCGACAGATATGTGCAAAAACACAGGAGAGGGAGGAACAACATAGTTTTCAGTCACTCGGAAGAAAGACTGAAGAAATTTGGGAAAAAGAGCATAAAAAAGCTTGAACTTAAAGGTAAGTTTTGTGCCTCCTAAGACTCTACATCCAAAGGCATTTTCCGCTTTAAAAAAAAAATGAAAAAATGAAAGAAAAGAAAAAACAAAAAGCCTAAAAGAGTCTAGGATGGCCTAAATTATTTGAAGCAAAAGCTACAGGTATTCATTTGTGAGTATTGGTTTTAAAACCTGGACAAAAATCTAAGTCTGGGGGAGTCATAAGAAGAACCTGAAGAAAAGGAGATCAAGAATCTTAAGGCAAGAAGAATGTGACTGAAAACTATGGATATCAACAGCTCCATCCTCTCTTGCTGTTTTGCATAATGTCTTGTCTCTCCAGAAAAAGGTAACCTTAAATACTAAGAACCTCACCCCTGAAAAAGCCATTTTTAAATGCCTAGCCTTGATTGCTTTACTAATGTCCTAATGAGAACCACTTGAACCTCTTAATGAATGTTAAGAGCTAGTTGACTAGAAGTTAGGTTTAAGTGTCTAGATTTTTGCATGACGGATCAACGGACTAGTTATGCCTGTATTTTGGTGAGAATTTTCTAGATTATACCTGACTTGAGCATAATGATCGATTTTAGTTTAGAAGCATGGTCACTGAAGTATTGTTTTGTTCCTGCGTTTTTCAAACCTCTTTCCTAACTTTGATTTTTGTTTGGGGAAAAACAAAGGTCTAAGTCTCGGGGAGTTGATAACACCTGATTTTTACCACTTTTGTGGATCAATTTTAATATCTTATGCAGGTGTTTTCACTCAATTTTAAAGGTTTTTAATTGATTTCCATGTTTTAGAATCTCAAAAGAGTTTTCAGGATATTTTGACAAAATGAATGCACTTGGGAGCAAAAAGTGTAACTTTGGCTAAATTCAGAATGTCGGAAGTTTGGTAACAAATAGAGGCCTTCCCACCGTCTAAATATCCTCAAATTTTGACAAAAGATAGAGGAGACAACCAGATTTCCAATGCAAGTGGAATCAAAGCAATCCAACGGTTAGATCTTCAGATATGGTCAATTCACTGAAAGCATATCAACACAATCAGAAGCTCACCGCGGCCAAAACATCATTTACCGGGGGTGCGAAAGTTTAGACCGCGGGGAGCTAAATTCCGAGCCTCAGAAACCCACTTTAAAGCCCAAGTCACTCCTGTCACTATTCCTGCAAGCCCTAGGCATTCCAGATGACCCAATACACTATATAAACCCCTCTTAAGATATTTAGAAGGGTGTGCCACATTTTTCACCAGGAATCCTAGAAGAGAAGCTCGCCGTGAAGAGGAGCCACCAAGAGGGGCACCATCTGCCCTCCTCCTTCAGTCTGTTCTTCGTTTCTAACCTTTGTCTATTTCAATTCTCTGCAATTCTAAATATTTTTGTGATGTTGAACTCAACTATGTCTAAGTAATTTTCCAGTTGGGTTTTTAAAGGGATTTTTCCAAAGGGAATTTCATGTCTTGATCATATGTTTCATTCGATTTAGGGTTATAAATCTTCTAGGAGTCCTTCGTTCATTCTTGTTCACTATGTTGTTTCTGTTGCTATCCGCTAAGAAATTGATCTCAGTAATCGGAGCCACAAGAGTGATGTATTGAATTACCAGATCTAGAAGTGTTCGAGCAAAATCACTATAGGAGACAAAAGCTACCTATAGAGAATCGCGAGCGTGGATGAATTCTGTTTTTAATGCATGATCTTATTCGCAGCATAAGAATGAGAGTTAATTGCTCTATTCGCAGCATGAGAGCGAGAGTTGAGTGATTAGATGATTATTGTGACGAGAGTTGGCTAATCTTACATGTGTCTATTTGAGTTCGGATCTTCACTAGACGATTACCTTTATCGATTTGTTTGTCTTTTGATCAGTTCATGAACCCCTGCGAAAACCCTTTGAACCCAGCGTTTGTTCCCTATTGTTTTACAACTTGTTTATTTCAATTGCTTTTAGATTTAGTGACACCAAAACCAAAAACCTCACATTTTGCTTGTTCTATTAGTCTTAAGTTTTGATTGATTTGTACTGAAAACTCAAAATCTCTATGGTTCAACTCCTAAGTACTACAGCGTACATCTATGTACTTGCAAATATTTAGGGTTATTAATTTAATCGTGAAATTATAAGTAACCCTTGATTATCTTAGCATCAGATATGTTTTTGATTGACATATTTTAAAGTATTCTAGGGGCAATGATATAACTGAGATTTTCTAGTCTAACAAACTTAATTTGCTGACAAGTTTTTTGTTGGACCCACAAATGACAAGAATCTGATCTATTGGCTCCCCCAGATTTTGATTATACAAAGCATCACCAAATGCTCGTGATGTGGCCTCAATCGGACCTATCCCTTCTCCTCCGCCCATTAACAATACCGCTTGAAGGTTCTCATCCATCCCTAGTTCCCTTCGTAGTTCAACCTATGATTTTTGGAAAACTAGACAATATTCAAAGTTTGAAACACCAATAAGCCAAGAAGAAAGGAGCTGAAAAAGAAAGATCAACCTTTGGACGTGGGTTTCACAAAGGAAGGTCAAACAGGAAGGTCGTAAATTAAACTTTAGTCTGTGAAGTTTTAAGTCCGGCTTTAAGTACCCTCTTCGCCAACTCTTTGGATGGGCAATAACATCTTGTCACAAGCTTATGAAACCTAATTCACAAATGAAGAATATAGAAGCATCAGATATCTTTTACACCGCCATGGAACTGAGCTGGGATTGATACCGATGATAAGAATCAACGCTGAGATATGACTAACCATGTGGAATGGCAAGTGCTCAAGTCTGTAACAACCATGGTGAATATAATTTTCTTCAGCGAGCCCTTTGATTTTAGGACGCGAAGTGGGACATGTTGCATTAACGGATGAACATGATAATAATGTCTGGCTGGTGTTTCATCAATACTTTTTCAATTTCTCTGTAAGTCAAAACAATGGAATCAGAATGAATATGAAAACAGATGAGACAATTCAAGAAGAGGAAAAGTCATGAGAAGCAAGAAAAATAACGTAAAGCTAAATCTCCTCTTTTGCAGTTCTCTTAAGTACTTTCACACTTGAGTAGATACTGCAGCTATGTGCAAATGAATTTAGACCAACTAACTAATAGGCCTTAAAATCTCACCTGGAAATAAACGTCGAAGTTGCAGCAAAATTAGATTGATGAATAACACGTGGAGCCATGCCGTAATATGTCATTTTCCACATGGTTCCATGTCTCACCAGAAAATGATAGCTCCTCGGCAACTGGTTGAACGGCCAAGGCGTGTGATCTGTCCATAAATTTGTAATAGAGACCTGAGACAAGCACTCTTAATGTACAGAACACAATCAACAAAGGTTCCATCGAGCAATGCAATATATTCATAAAATTTTTATCATCTTTGGTTGATTCGACAGCATTAGAAGAGAAAACCGGCACCATTAGTCCAAGAAACAATGCAGTTTAAACTACTAATGCTCAAGATCTTATAGGCTGATAACACCTGATTTTGACCACTTTTATGAATCATTTTCAGTATCTTATGCATGTCTTTTCACTCAGTTTTAAATTTTTTATAAGTTTTTTCCATGTTTTGGAGTTCTGAAAGGCTTTTCAGGAAACTTGAGACTTTGGAGTGCATTTTAGAGCAAAAGTATATTTTTGGATAAATTCAGGCCGTCAGAAGTTTGGTAACCAATAAAGACTTTCTCATCGTCTGATCATCCCCAAATTTGGAGACATTATAGAGGAGACAACCAGCTTTCCAACACATTTGGAATCAAAGCAATCCAACGGTTAGATCTCGAGATATCATCAATGCACTGAATGGTCGATCACAAGCCCAGTCAAGCACAAGTGCTCTCACCCGCGGCCAGCCTTCTTCCCACCGCGGCTCA